GGGAGGGCCTTCGGACAATTCAGTTAAAAATGGAATGACAAATTAAAGACTAATGCTTTTTTTGTTGATTTTGATTTACAGAGGTGCTTTATGTGGAAGATTTAGAGAATTTGCTATATGAGAGCTTGCTACTTTCATTTAACACAGAGATTGAGGATGGAAGCATCGAGGAGGTAACGCAATCCTGAGTGGCTATTTCCAGTGGTTGAGTTTGATGTTGATAAATCTGCGAAATCTAGAAATTCATTTCTGATAACTGAACCTTCTCGTCCATCATAGTATACTGCGATTTCTCCCATAGTGTTTCACTGAATTGTTTGATTCACTGTAGATGTAGATTCTCTATTTTTGGGGTATTTATTCTAAAGAGAGATTAGTCATATAGGAAAAATAGTTTTTCTCTAATTAGTTTCGCTTGAATTGATAAAAACCGGACTACACTTGAGACTAATCCCATTACATGACATAAATGATTCATGCATATGTTGAACAAATTTTGACATGATATGCATAAGTGGAGCTACACTCAAGCTTGGGGGGAGGGGGGCAGTTGGCCACACTGACTTCGTGTAGGCTTGGTATGCAAAGAGCAAAAAAAAAAAATCCAATTTGACACATTGCCCGCCCACTCTTGTATTTTGTCACGACCTTAGTCTTTTTTTTTCGGTTTATGTTTATGTGACATGATAAATTTTTTGTTTATGTTTTGGCCCCCCTCAACTAGAAACCTGGCTCTGTCCCTGACAACATGATGTAGACCATTGTGCACCGGAATTGTAATTAAGGTTATTCTCTACTGTTTCACTGGGGGCATAGGAGCCAGGTTTCTCTGAATTGGCTACGAAAGAACCCTATATGCTTTAGAAGTCAAGCTTATATTAGTAGGGTTGTAAAATTGTTGGTTGACTTGTGTTGTTGATGCTGTTTGATACTCATGACTTTTCTTTTGTCTCCAAACAGGTTGCAGAACAGTTGATGATAATGCACGATGAATACTTACAAGGAGACCATCAATTCGTAAATGAACTCTGCATTGGAAGCTTATCGCGCATATGACTATGGNGTTGATCTGGTGGGATTAATAGGTGGTGGGTTATGATCTTTTTCCGAAGGTGAAGTTGGGGATAGGGTTGTGGGTAGGCACATGAATCTGGAGAAGCACAGATGGAAGTTCTTCCAGAAGATGTTGGACATGTTCACTTGTGGGGAGAGAGAGAGAGAGAGAGAGAGAGAAACTTGTTGTATGATTGTGGTCTTTTGTCTATGGTCTAGAATGAGACTATGTGGGAGTGAATGGAAGATAAAGGAGAGAGGGATGGTGGTGGTCTGGTGGATTTGGATGTCTTTAGTGTGAGTATATGTAGAGGCATATAAAGTGCCCCTTGTTACATTTCACTGTTTACTATGTAGAGGCATAGTGCCTTTTTGTATACCCGTTTATTTTGAATAGATTATAATTGTCAATTCCACACCCCGTAGATAGGTCTAACTTAGTAACACCTCTCCCTAATGCTGAAATTTTGTTGCACTCCAATTGCCTTAATCAGACAAGTTTGTTAATATTTTTTCCCAATAGGTGACCAAATTAGTTTTTAGCGTCGAGTAAATATGATATCATTTCATGGCCTTTCATTAATATTTTCAAAAGTTGATCAAGGCTATCAAACGGTCGGTCAAGTGGATAAGAATTCGAATTGAGTAATGTTAGATGAACTTAAAAACTAAACTTGATAATCTCAACTGTTGAATAGATAGTGAATTCCAATAAATGTTGGGATCCACAATAAAATCAATAGTTATAATTTTTAAATCTATTTTTTAAATCCATGTAACATTACTCATTCGAATTTTCTCGCTTAATGCTTAGGCTCGAATCTCCACAACTACGACAATTTAGTAGAGTTAAATCTACTCTTTAACCCCTAAATCACAAGGTGAGCCCTTAGTTTCAACCCCAACATAAGTGCGGTGGGATCTTTTGCAAATAGATGTATAATGTTAAGGGACAATGTTTCTTAACGGATATCTAGAGCAACCTTTCGTTTATCCATTTTGTATACCCAAAAAAAAAATGAAAGAAGAAAACATGATCAAGCACCCTTTACACTTTAATGGGCCAAAATGAAAGCCTTTTTTGGGTGTGGGCTGGGCCCTTAACGATAAAACCTTCCTGAGTGACCGAGTATCTCTCCTCCGATCCCTACTTTTCGCGCCCTTGAACCTTAAACTTGTGTCCTAAAAAGTAATGCTCTCTTTCTCTCTCTCTCTGTGGAAATCGGGCTCCCTGCTCTGGAGAGAGAAACAGGGCAGAGGAAGGAGAGAGAGAGAGGAGATTTAAAATCTGCTAATGGAATCTGTTGTGGCAGCCGCACATTCTGGTGGTCTGAAACCAGTATTTCTCTGTCCTCTCCATGAAGGAATCTCAAAGCTCTTGTCTCAGTGGACCGGCCTTCAAATGGCAGTTCGAAACGAGTGGGGTGGCCGCGATTCCATCAAGAAATCGGAGCAACTGTCGTCTGATATCCTCTCCTGGTTCTCTCAATCCAAAGGTAATTAATAAGCTCTTCTCATCTTCATTCACCATCATTAATGGAATAACAACGTTCTAANTTGACACATTGCCCGCCCACTCTTGTATTTTGTCACGACCTTAGTCTTTTTTTTTCGGTTTATGTTTATGTGACATGATAAATTTTTTGTTTATGTTTTGGCCCCCCTCAACTAGAAACCTGGCTCTGTCCCTGACAACATGATGTAGACCATTGTGCACCGGAATTGTAATTAAGGTTATTCTCTACTGTTTCACTGGGGGCATAGGAGCCAGGTTTCTCTGAATTGGCTACGAAAGAACCCTATATGCTTTAGAAGTCAAGCTTATATTAGTAGGGTTGTAAAATTGTTGGTTGACTTGTGTTGTTGATGCTGTTTGATACTCATGACTTTTCTTTTGTCTCCAAACAGGTTGCAGAACAGTTGATGATAATGCACGATGAATACTTACAAGGAGACCATCAATTCGTAAATGAACTCTGCATTGGAAGCTTATCGCGCATATGACTATGGTACTCACCTACAAGCGCACACCCAAATTTTAAGTAATCATACTGGTCGTAAGGTTCGTTTGAGTAGCAAGTTTGTGGGCTTTGATTCCCGTCTTCTCGGAGAGCGAGAAGTTTATAGTAATCAAGGGTTGTTTTGCACCTACCTATAGAACAACATTTGTCATTAAGAAAACAAGCAGAGTTTCTTGGACGAAAAAGTGAGTGATTCATACAAATTTAAGCTAGATGGTTGTAGAGCTCAAGCTTGGGGTTATTTTTTGCAGTATTTAGCATGCAACAGAGACTGTTTTTATTGCAACAACCTTCACCGATTTTTCCAACAAATCCTGCAATAGAAGGAATTTTTGGAGTATAGTTTATGAACATATTATTGGGAGACTGGGGAGCCTAATAATCCAACGCCTAACATACATGTCTGGAACTCAATAGTATATTATGACACTTGAACTTATTTTCTATCCGACGTGAGGATTCTGGCACATGTAATACCCAACACTTATCAACATTGATCTTAAGTTTTCCATGTCATTATATACACAACACGAGAGTTGTAATGAGTTAACATGATTGTNGATTTCTCCCATAGTGTTTCACTGAATTGTTTGATTCACTGTAGATGTAGATTCTCTATTTTTGGGGTATTTATTCTAAAGAGAGATTAGTCATATAGGAAAAATAGTTTTTCTCTAATTAGTTTCGCTTGAATTGATAAAAACCGGACTACACTTGAGACTAATCCCATTACATGACATAAATGATTCATGCATATGTTGAACAAATTTTGACATGATATGCATAAGTGGAGCTACACTCAAGCTTGGGGGGAGGGGGGCAGTTGGCCACACTGACTTCGTGTAGGCTTGGTATGCAAAGAGCAAAAAAAAAAAATCCAATTTGACACATTGCCCGCCCACTCTTGTATTTTGTCACGACCTTAGTCTTTTTTTTTCGGTTTATGTTTATGTGACATGATAAATTTTTTGTTTATGTTTTGGCCCCCCTCAACTAGAAACCTGGCTCTGTCCCTGACAACATGATGTAGACCATTGTGCACCGGAATTGTAATTAAGGTTATTCTCTACTGTTTCACTGGGGGCATAGGAGCCAGGTTTCTCTGAATTGGCTACGAAAGAACCCTATATGCTTTAGAAGTCAAGCTTATATTAGTAGGGTTGTAAAATTGTTGGTTGACTTGTGTTGTTGATGCTGTTTGATACTCATGACTTTTCTTTTGTCTCCAAACAGGTTGCAGAACAGTTGATGATAATGCACGATGAATACTTACAAGGAGACCATCAATTCGTAAATGAACTCTGCATTGGAAGCTTATCGCGCATATGACTATGGTACTCACCTACAAGCGCACACCCAAATTTTAAGTAATCATACTGGTCGTAAGGTCGTTTGAGTAGCAAGTTTGTGGGCTTTGATTCCCCTCTTCTCGGAGAGCGAGAAGTTTATAGTAATCAAGGGTTGTTTTGCACCTACCTATAGAACAACATTTGTCATTAAGAAAACAAGCAGAGTTTCTTGGACGAAAAAGTGAGTGATTCATACAAATTTAAGCTCGATGGTTGTAGAGCTCAAGCTTGGGGTTATTTTTTGCAGTATTTAGCATGCAACAGAGACTGTTTTTATTGCAACAACCTTCACCTATTTTTCCAACAAATCCTGCAATATAAGGAATTTTTGGAGTATAGTTTATGAACATATTATTGGGAGACTGGGGAACNCTAATGCTTTTTTTGTTGATTTTGATTTACAGAGGTGCTTTATGTGGAAGATTTAGAGAATTTGCTATATGAGAGCTTGCTACTTTCATTTAACACAGAGATTGAGGATGGAAGCATCGAGGAGGTAACGCAATCCTGAGTGGCTATTTCCAGTGGTTGAGTTTGATGTTGATAAATCTGCGAAATCTAGAAATTCATTTCTGATAACTGAACCTTCTCGTCCATCATAGTATACTGCGATTTCTCCCATAGTGTTTCACTGAATTGTTTGATTCACTGTAGATGTAGATTCTCTATTTTTGGGGTATTTANTAAGAGCCTACCATGAATATTTAGGCAAAATCAAACATAGATAGTCATAGAGAGAACATAAAACAGTTGTTATAGATACGACTTACAAAGTCATATCATCTAGACAAGGGTTAATAGTATTTTTGGTCCCTAAATTATGCATTTTTTGTCGATTTAATCCTCAGTGTATCGATTTTGTTAATTTGGATCCTAAAATATCCAATTCTTGTCATTTTGGTCTCTGCATGTACACACCGTTAAACTTTTTAATGGAAGTGACCACGTGTGATTTTTTTAGACGATATCACGTGTCTAATATGTGATCATTCCGTAAAATACTTAACTGTCCATCTATGTGGGGACCAAAATGACAAGAATTGAATACTTTAGGGATCAAATTGATAAAATTGATACATTGAGGGCTAAACTGACAAAAAATGTATACCTTAGGGACTAAAAGTGCTATTAAAATTGCTTAATTGTTGTGTTATTATGGGCGGTTACGCCACGTGATAATGTTGACATGATGTAACCGTTACACCCAATATTTGCTCTAAAAATTGGACCCTTAAAAACCTTACCATCAAGCTTCTGTTGGACACATTGATTTATCTGCTGATCACATTATACACTAGCTCTAACACAGAAGTTTAAAATGCCTTAAAAACAAATTTAAGAGGCAAATATGGCCTTTATTCCCTATGTAGAAGAACAGTATTAGATTCAATCCTATGTATAAATATGAAGTGATCAATTCCAAACCACTCTCCTTCTCCCTTATAAACTCATACAAGTATTTTTTTTTTTCTGCAACTGAGTAATCATTTTGACTATGTGACTTGTGGCCTCGTCGCTACAACTTGAACCTCATATGCTCTCAATCACTTTTATTGATTAACTTTGGATTGTATTCGAATATGGAGACTTGAACATAGAACGTTCGTGCTTATGACGAGACCACACCAAACTGGGTCAACAAACTCATAAAAGTAGACTATATATACTTAGATTACACATGAAAAGTACCCTAAAGAGCTGCCTCTCTATTTATTTCATGTCAACAAAGCTTATTAAGAAGCAACATGATTATTCCATATTAGCTAAAGAACCATATTCTCTTTCAACCTCCACAGTCCCAGCTCCAAAGCCTGGTAAGCTTTTAAAGGCAACGTTGTTTCAATCAAAGAGGCACCATTTTTCTGAGGCTCGTTGGGGCAGGAGGAGGAGGTCCAATAGGAGGACCTAGAGGTGAGCACGCACAGTAACCCTGTATACATTTGCCATTCAACTTTCCGAATGCTAGTATGCATATTAGCTTATTACATCCTCCTTCTGCCTTTGGAAATGGCAAACCTGTCAATAATTTACCAGTCAATTTCGTTCATCCCAACAATTTCAAACGAGATCAAACGTTGGGGTGGGAGAGTGCTGGTAGCAACGGGTCGTGCCATGTCGACTTCATATCATGTTTAAGTTGTGTTGTGGAGAATAATTTAGTACAACATATCAGTTCTTATTATTGTTGTGTACAGTCGAATTTGTGTAGTGAATGCATACATGTCGTGTTTAATTGAATTTCTGTTAATCTAATTATTAGATGGGTCTGATGGGTTTTCCGTTTACCTTCAACAATTTAAAAATTAAACCCAAGTTGCTAATTTTGTGTCAATTTTTTATTTGATGGTCTCTAAAATTGTCAAATTTAGAGATAGAGAGGGAGAGAGATGGAGAGAGAGACTAACCCAACCCAGTAACCATGAGAACCAAGAGGATCATCTTGAATGACGCCTTCTCCATGTNTAGTACAACATATCAGTTCTTATTATTGTTGTGTACAGTCGAATTTGTGTAGTGAATGCATACATGTCGTGTTTAATTGAATTTCTGTTAATCTAATTATTAGATGGGTCTGATGGGTTTCCCGTTTACCTTCAACAATTTAAAAATTAAACCCAAGTTGCTAATTTTGTGTCAATTTTTTATTTGATGGTCTCTAAAATTGTCAAATTTAGAGATAGAGAGGGAGAGAGATGGAGAGAGAGACTAACCCAACCCAGTAACCATGAGAACCAAGAGGCTTCATTCTATCAATTCCCTGTCAAACTGCTGAGCTCTGTGGCATGGTGTTTATAATGGTTAATGTTATATGCTTATGAGCGCCATAATAACTTTGTTTCGTCTTTAAGTTTAAATCTTGTCAACTTTTTATTAGGTTCAGATCGTGAAAAATTTATTTTTTATAAATATTCTAGTTCTAGCGTAAATAATCTATTTTTAACCAGATTGAAAAAGGAATTAGGCGAGTCATGCGTAAAATAACATTATATTAATCAAGTACACACTTGAATCAATACTAATTATACAAACCNCGCCATAATAACTTTGTTTCGTCTTTAAGTTTAAATCTTGTCAACTTTTTATTAGGCTCAGACCGTGAAAAATTTATGTTTTATAAATATTCTAGTTCTAGCGTAAATAATCTATTTTTAACCAGATTGAAAAAAGAATTAGGCGAGTCATGCGTAAAATAACATTATATTAATCAAGTACACACTTGAATCAATACTAATTATACAAACCATTAATTACTCCCCTAGCTCTCTTCTTGAGAAAATATTTAGTGTTCTAGTGATATCATATTATCATCGTGATATTAATGGATGAATTAATACCGTTACGGACTCATTAAAGGGCATGTTGGGACATCGACTAGCAAGATTGCAATAATCATATTTAAGCAATCTTCCAACCAGATTTGGATCCTCTCAATTTCAACCCTACTTGAATTTAATCAAGTTCACTCATTTGTTCATGAATTTATTGAGTNTATTAATGGATGAATTAATACCGTTACGGACTCATTAAAGGGCATGTTGGGACATCAACTAGCAAGATTGCAATAATCATATTTAAGCAATCTTCCAACCAGATTTGGATCCTCTCAATTTCAACCCACCTTGAATTTAATCAAGTTCACTCATTTGTTCATGAATTTATTGAGTTCTATTGTATGTTATGGGACTAGTGAAAACCCACAAATAATATAAAAAAAAAAAGGGTACAAGAAGCTTGTGTTGTTGTTGGGTTTAAAAAAGATTAAATGTATGTAATTTTATCCTTATAAGTAAATAAATTATTTCTACGTTTCGAATTTATGACTTCTANGAATTTATTGAGTTCTATTGTATGTTATGGGACTAGTGAAAACCCACAAATAATATAAAAAAAAAAAGGGTACAAGAAGCTTGTGTTGTTGTTGGGTTTAAAAAAGATTAAATGTATGTAATTTTATTCTTATAAGTAAATAAATTATTTCTACGTTTCGAATTTATGACTTCCAAATTACAATATAGTAAAGTTGCGCCAAATAATGTTGACAACATTTCTTCAAATAACCGGCTCTTCATGTAAGATAATAATCGACACATATTCAAAAAATATAATTCATTCATCTATCATTATATAATTATATTATAATAATCATGTCAATACCTACACCAGTCATTGGGCTGACACGCTTATATTACGCGATAATANAACCGGCTCTTCATGTAAGATAATAATCGACACATATTCAAAAAATATAATTCATTTATCCATCATTATATAATTATATTATAATAATCATGCCAATACCTACACCAGTCATTGGGCTGACACGGTTATATTACCCGATAACANATTCAAAAAATATAATTCATTCATCTATCATTATATAATTATATTATAATAATCATGTCAATACCTACACCAGTCATTGGGCTGACACGCTTATATTACGCGATAATACTGATACAATAATAATCGTGTCAGCCCAATATTTACTTGAAAGAAACACCCAACTGTATTTCCCTCCATATTTGCCTCCAAACCCCACCCTAAACCCTGTCTCACATGCCATGGCCACCATCACCCAACCCATCTCACCTTTCCCATTCCACCCAACCCCCACTACTCTCCACCACCACTATACCCAACTCTCCACCGTCCTCACCTACGCCACATCCCTCTCCCACCTTAAACAGATCCACGCCCAAATCATCCGGTCCCACCTGGACCGGTCCAACTCCCTTCTTCTGAAACTCGTCCTCTCCTCCTCCACATCTAGCCTCGACTATGCTGTCTCCGTTTTCAAAACAATGTACAAACCCGAAGCCCATCTCTGCAACAAGTTCTTGCGCGAACTGTCGCGTAGTGACGAACCTGAAAAGACCCTTTTGGTGTATGAGAACATGAGAAGAGAAGGCTTGGTTGTTGACAGGTTTAGTATTCCGCCATTATTGAAGGCGGCGTCGAGAGTTTTGGGGTTGAGCGAAGGGATGGAAATTCATGGGTTGGCTTCGAGACTGGGTTTCGATTCGGACCCCTTTGTGCAGACTGCTTTGATTGGTATGTATGCTGCTTGTGGGCAAATTCAAGAGGCGCGCTTGATGTTCGATAAAATGTCTTACCGGGACGTTGTTACGTGGGATATAATGATTGATGGGTACGATGTTAATGCTATTAGAATTCTTGTTAACATCATGCTATAAGATATTGCTACGATGGAATGAATTTTTACGTACCTTTCCTGTAAATTTCGTGCTTTTGGTATTGCTCCTTTTAAGAGAAACATTATGACCGTGACAAGTTTAGAAAATTTTTTATTTGTCATTGAAATTTGAGATGAATGTTATCTAAATGTTGATTGTGTCCCTTTTACTGAAAACTTGTAGCTACAATTCTGATTGAAATTCTAATATGAGTGAATACCAAGAACATGCTTTAGTTGAAAGCATTTTTCATTCGCAAATCCATACTTTTATTTGGTGATTGAAAGTGTTTCGACTGCTAACTAATTATGACTTGTTTAAACAGGTACTGTCAAAATAACTGTTTTGCTGAAGTCTTGCTACTATTTGAAGAGATGAAGAGATCCACTGTGGAATTGGATGGGAGGATTTTTTCAACAATCCTCTCTGCCTGTGGCCGTGCCGGAAACTTGGATTTTGGGAGAGTCATCCATGAATTTATTGTAGAAAATAATATTGGGTTGGACTCTCATTTGGAGAGTGCTCTTGTCACCATGTATGCAGGTTGTGGCTCTATGGATGTGGCCCAGAGTTTGTACAATAGGTTGTCACCCAAGAATGTTGTTGTTTCAACTGCCATGGTTTCTGGGTATTCCAAACTTGGACAGGTTGAGGCTGCTCGTTTGATTTTCAATGAAATGGATAAAAAGGATTTGGTCTGTTGGAGTGCGATGATCTCTGGTTACGCAGAGAGTGATCAGCCTCAAGAAGCTCTTAAGTTGTTTAATGAAATGCAAGTTTCAGGGATAAAGCCTGACCAGGTAAACATGCTAAGTGTCATATCAGCTTGTGCTAATCTTGGTGCATTGGATCAAGCAAAATGGATCCATATGTTTGTTGATAAGACTGCGTTTGGAGAAGCTTTGCCTATAAACAATGCCCTTATTGATATGTACGCCAAGTGTGGGAGCTTGCAGGGAGCAAGAGAAGTTTTCAGTCGGATGCGTAGGAGAAATGTGATATCTTGGACCAGTCTGATCAGCGCGTTTGCCATGCATGGGGATGCCGATAGTGCCCTGCAGCTCTTCGATCAGATGAAAACTGAAGATATTGAGCCCAATTGGGTCACATTTGTTGGTGTCCTCTATGCTTGTAGCCATGCTGGATTAGTCAAAGAGGGCCGGAAAATTTTTGCATCAATGGTTAATGAATACAATATATCACCTAAACATGAGCATTATGGTTGCATGGTGGACCTCTATGGCCGGGCTAATCTTCTTAGAGAAGCTCTTGAGGTCGTAGAGACTATGCATTTGGCGCCAAACATTGTCATCTGGGGATCCCTTATGGCTGCCTGTCGAATCCATGGTGAGTTGGAATTAGGAGAGTTTGCTGCAAAACAACTTCTTGAGCTAGACCCTGATCATGATGGGGCTCATGTCCTGTTGTCGAACATTTACGCCAGAGAAAGGAGATGGGACAATGTCGGGGAGGTGAGGACATTGATGAAAGACAGAGGCATATCCAAGGAACGGGGTTATAGTCGAGTTGAATTGAAAAATGAGATACATGAGTTCTTGATGGCAGATAAAAATCATCAAGAAGCAGAGAAGATCTATTGGAAGTTGGACGAGGTGGTTAGCAAGTTGAAACTGGTTGGTTATGCCCCAAATACCTGGGGTGTTTTGATTGACTTAAATGAAGAAGAGAAGAGGGAAGTAGTTTTATGGCACAGTGAGAAGTTAGCACTTTGTTATGGGCTAATTAAAGCAGAGAGAGGATCTTGCATCCGTATAATTAAGAACCTTAGGATCTGTGAGGACTGCCACAATTTCATGAAGTTGGCATCTAAGGTTTACGAGAGAGAAATTGTTGTCAGAGATAGGACTAGGTTTCACCATTACAGAGATGGTGTGTGTTCCTGTAAAGACTACTGGTGATCCTATTATACATTCTTATTGCTTAAAGTTGTATGTGGATATTAAATATGAATATGGTTCTGTTTGACGTATTTTTGGATTGCAAATGTGCCAAAGTTCGAGTGGACTTAAGATTCAAATACGTATGATCTTACCTTTTCAAAATGGTGTAAGATTCTAAAATCATGACTATTCAAGAAATTATAACGAGACTTCTGAATTTTTTTCTATGCCTTACGGATTAAAGACTTAAATAATTTTTTAACTTGTAACGTAATGAATTAGAATGCAGAAAGACACCTAGAATGTAAAGTAGTAGATAAACTAAGCTTGAAAGTTGAAATGTGTATTATACTTAACATTAAATGAAAGGCGGTAAAGGTCACCAGAGTGATGAGTTACAGATTAAAGTAAAGCAAAGTTACTGGAAAGTAAAATAAGTAGCAGATAGGCTGGTTCTGTATAGGGTTTTGTTTTGTGTGATAGAAGATCTTTCTCTCTAGCCTTGCCCTTGTTATTATAGGGATGACCTTCAACTGGCGAAACCATCTTTCTGGCCATAACCACAAACAATGGCCTTTTTCCTCAAGATGGGCAAACTTGCACTGAACCATTTCCAGCTGGCAAATCATGATGTCACGTTACCCACTTCTCGGATTAGAGTCCCACGTCCTGAACCACTCTGTTAAGTATGACCTCTCATAGACTCTTTCATGACCGTCAAATTGTTTCCACGTGTTACCCTCAAATTTTGCTATTTTTGGGTATCATCAATGAATTGGCATGTACATATTGATCTTAGCAAAGTAGAGCAAAAGAGAAATTTAAAATAGTCATAAAGAACAAAAAACAGAGGGATTGAGGTCTCCTTATACAAATACAACTACGCTAAAAGCAAGAAGATTATCAAAAGCTTCTCACAAGTAATGAGAACTGGTCAACTGCTCAGGGAAGATGAAGAGACTCCAGTATCCATGGAGTTTTCTCAAGTGGGGACTCTGAAACTTTCTCCTGTAAAGTCTCTGTACTGTCTTCCAAGCGCATACAACAACCAGAACTCCTGCTTCATTTTTTGAACCTCTCTCATCATCCTGAATTTCAAGAATTCTATTGCTGCAGAAATCAATCGTCCATTTTCCATTAAAGAGCTTCGTCGATACTCAAGAATCCATGTACTGCGATCTAGTTGCACAACAGAGCTGCTCCATTTTCCTTGTACCCAAGAACTATTTGTGTGTCGAATCTGATACCCGACCTCACCATTGAACCACTGTCAAGCAGACAGTATTACGAACTCAACGCAATGGCATGGATTACAAATGTTTACAGGATTCTATATTTGCAAAAACATCATCAACTAGTTGGCTTGAATGTGGGGAAAATCAAACAATGATTGAATTAACTTTACCAAACGATTTAGATTTACCTCAGTGACTCTTCCGGATAAGATAGTGAATGATCGTGAAGAAAATTCAGCTGTGAGCAATCCAGCAGTCTGTAAAGGCCACCCCCATATGCTCACCTCCTCGATTGCGGATTTGTACAATGTACAATGCGAATTCAAGAGCAAACCATCCTATAAAGACATTTTATACAAAATTCGACTTTAATTGATGCCCAAAACAAATTGCCCAGCAAATTTCAAAAGAAAAACTAAAGTGAAATCAGAGTTTTCAGGTAAATTCAAGATTTAAATGCACATTGTGATGACAAAAGGCTCAAAGTGTACCTGATTGATGTCCCATACAGAATTATCAGTGCTACAGTTTGAAGCCTCCTCTTGAACCAAATTTTCTATTTCTTTCTTCAAGAATGATAGTCTTTCATTCAAATCTGGCAATACCCATGATTTCTGGCCCACATGCCTTATAATATCAGGCGACAATTTAGGTTGAAAAACCCCAGAAACCACCCAAGAAAACCCAAACTCCGCCAGAAAAACCAAGCTCAGAGTCCGAAACAGTCTCATCAACATAAACCCAATACCCAACTCTCTCTTCTTCCTCTTAATCTTCTCATGAAAACCCATTCTGGCTGTAGAATTCAGCGGCGGGGACACCAAAACTGTTGGAGTACTCGATCTGGGTGTGGAAAGAAACGAGGGATTGAACGAAACCGGGCTTCTAGGAATGGGTTTCGAAACCGAGAGCTTAGTGAGAGAGCTTCTTTGGATGCTTTGCGGCATTAAATCAAGGGTAGCGTTGATGCTAGCTATGCAGATTTCGCATCCGCAATTAGCATCTTTTCGGCATCCCGGAAAGTAACAACTGTCTCGGGATTCAGATTCCATGTTTGTGCTGGCGAAGGATTTTACAGACGACTCTGAGGTTAGAACTACTGTTTTCATGGCCTTTTTGGGTTTTTCGTTTCTGCGCTTTTTGCTCTTGTTGGGTTCTGGTTTGTTTTCATGGGGGTTTCGGGTGATTGAGGAAGACGACGTGGTTTTGAAATTTGAATGCTAACGGTCACTTCTGAACTAGTCAAATGGAGTTGTGCCTTGGAACTCCGTAAATGACCGAAATAACCCCCCTCGTAGGATGCACTGATAAGGGTACGTATATGAGATACGGATATAATATAATATAAATACAATAATATGATAAAATTTTAAAAAATAGGATATAAGTATGATTAAAATACGATTATAATAAAATATTTTTATTATTTTTAATCAATTTAATATTTATATATTTTGGTAATTATTTAATAAAATAAGAAAATTTAATAATTTTTTTTAGTTTCAAGAAAATATATATTGTATCATTATAGTATATTCACAAAGTGAAGTAATTAATTAAAAAAATCAAAATTAATATTTATCGAGTCGATTTATTTAGAAGTAATTTTTGTTCAGACTATAACATAGTAGATTTATTTTATACTCTTTTGACATGTAATTATAAATAAAATTTAAAAAATACTCATATGTATTTGAAGTAGTATGAATTTTTGTTAATCTATCGTATGACTAGTAATTGTCCGTGCCTGAAGGCACGGCGTAACGAAATCAAGGTAATCTCATGTAACCTAAAATTCAAAAAATCATATATTACCTAAAGACTCTTTGTAATGTAAAACAATCTGTCAATTTGAAATCAAAGTAGTCCATACTAATATCTAAAAATTTCAGCTTAATTTTCTCTAAAAATAGGAACTCATAAAAATCTAAACATGTTCACAGAACGTACAATTGTATATAACAATCATCATAATTCANAAAAATTTCAGCTTAATTTTCTCTAAAAATAGGAACTCATAAAAATTTAAACATGTTTACAGAACGTACAATTGTACATAACAATCATCATAATTTACCATACCACCACAATAATCAATACATACCTAATCATTAACACATATCCAACCATCAAAACATCAAGCTAATCCCTACTAATTTCAAGAAATTTGGGTAGAGTTTCCTCTAAAAATAGAAGCCCAAAAAAAATCTAAACCTATTTNTTTTCTATGCCTTACGGATTAAAGACTTAAATAATTTTTTAACTTGTAACGTAATGAATTAGAATGCAGAAAGACACCTAGAATGTAAAGTAGTAGATAAACTAAGCTTGAAAGTTGAAATGTGTATTATACTTAACATTAAATGAAAGGCGGTAAAGGTCACCAGAGTGATGAGTTACAGATTAAAGTAAAGCAAAGTTACTGGAAAGTAAAATAAGTAGGAGATAGGCTGGTTCTGTATAGGGTTTTGTTTTGTGTGATAGAAGATCTTTCTCTCTAGCCTTGCGGATGACCTTCAACTGGCGAAACCATCTTTCTGGCCATAACCACAAACANGAGTGATGAGTTACAGATTAAAGTAAAGCAAAGTTACTGGAAAGTAAAATAAGTAGCAGATAGGCTGGTTCTGTATAGGGTTTTGTTTTGTGTGATAGAAGATCTTTCTCTCTAGCCTTGCCCTTGTTATTATAGGGATGACCTTCAACTGGCGAAACCATCTTTCTGGCCATAACCACAAACAANCAACATAAAATTGATAATTATATCACTGTCCCAAATTTTGTCGCAAGTGCCACAAATACATTTTAGAGAAATAAGCAAGTATGTTTCCTAGAATATGAGATAAAAAATACGAATGATGTTGATTAGTGGAAAATCATCTCACTCAACAAGACTTTGGTTAACACAAAGATGGAACATAANTGATAGAAGATCTTTCTCTCTAGCCTTGCCCTTGTTATTATAGGGATGACCTTCAACTGGCGAAACCATCTTTCTGGCCATAACCACAAACAATGGCCTTTTTCCTCAAGATGGGCAAACTTGCACTGAACCATTTCCAGCTGGCAAATCATGATGTCACGTTACCCACTTCTCGGATTAGAGTCCCACGTCCTGAACCACTCTGTTAAGTATGACCTCTCATAGACTCTTTCATGACCGTCAAATTGTTTCCACGTGTTACCCTCAAATTTTGCTATTTTTGGGTATCATCAATGAATTGGCATGTACATATTGATCTTAGCAAAGTAGAGCAAAAGAGAAATTTAAAATAGTCATAAAGAACAAAAAACAGAGGGATTGAGGTCTCCTTATACAAATACAACTACGCTAAAAGCAAGAAGATTATCAAAAGCTTCTCACAAGTAATGAGAACTGGTCAACTGCTCAGGGAAGATGAAGAGACTCCAGTATCCATGGAGTTTTCTCAAGTGGGGACTCTGAAACTTTCTCCTGTAAAGTCTCTGTACTGTCTTCCAAGCGCATACAACAACCAGAACTCCTGCTTCATTTTTTGAACCTCTCTCATCATCCTGAATTTCAAGAATTCTATTGCTGCAGAAATCAATCGTCCATTTTCCATTAAAGAGCTTCGTCGATACTCAAGAATCCATGTACTGCGATCTAGTTGCACAACAGAGCTGCTCCATTTTCCTTGTACCCAAGAACTATTTGTGTGTCGAATCTGATACCCGACCTCACCATTGAACCACTGTCAAGCAGACAGTATTACGAACTCAACGCAATGGCATGGATTACAAATGTTTACAGGATTCTATATTTGCAAAAACATCATCAACTAGTTGGCTTGAATGTGGGGAAAATCAAACAATGATTGAATTAACTTTACCAAACGATTTAGATTTACCTCAGTGACTCTTCCGGATAAGATAGTGAATGATCGTGAAGAAAATTCAGCTGTGAGCAATCCAGCAGTCTGTAAAGGCCACCCCCATATGCTCACCTCCTCGATTGCGGATTTGTACAATGTACAATGCGAATTCAAGAGCAAACCATCCTATAAAGACATTTTATACAAAATTCGACTTTAATTGATGCCCAAAACAAATTGCCCAGCAAATTTCAAAAGAAAAACTAAAGTGAAATCAGAGTTTTCAGGTAAATTCAAGATTTAAATGCACATTGTGATGACAAAAGGCTCAAAGTGTACCTGATTGATGTCCCATACAGAATTATCAGTGCTACAGTTTGAAGCCTCCTCTTGAACCAAATTTTCTATTTCTTTCTTCAAGAATGATAGTCTTTCATTCAAATCTGGCAATACCCATGATTTCTGGCCCACATGCCTTATAATATCAGGCGACAATTTAGGTTGAAAAACCCCAGAAACCACCCAAGAAAACCCAAACTCCGCCAGAAAAACCAAGCTCAGAGTCCGAAACAGTCTCATCAACATAAACCCAATACCCAACTCTCTCTTCTTCCTCTTAATCTTCTCATGAAAACCCATTCTGGCTGTAGAATTCAGCGGCGGGGACACCAAAACTGTTGGAGTACTCGATCTGGGTGTGGAAAGAAACGAGGGATTGAACGAAACCGGGCTTCTAGGAATGGGTTTCGAAACCGAGAGCTTAGTGAGAGAGCTTCTTTGGATGCTTTGCGGCATTAAATCAAGGGTAGCGTTGATGCTAGCTATGCAGATTTCGCATCCGCAATTAGCATCTTTTCGGCATCCCGGAAAGTAACAACTATCTCGGGATTCAGATTCCATGTTTGTGCTGGCGAAGGATTTTACAGACGACTCTGAGGTTAGAACTACTGTTTTCATGGCCTTTTTGGGTTTTTCGTTTCTGCGCTTTTTGCTCTTGTTGGGTTCTGGTTTGTTTTCATGGGGGTTTCGGGTGATTGAGGAAGACGACGTGGTTTTGAAATTTGAATGCTAACGGTCACTTCTGAACTAGTCAAATGGAGTTGTGCCTTGGAACTCCGTAAATGACCGAAATAACCCCCCTCGTAGGATGCACTGATAAGGGTACATATATGAGATACGGATATAATATAATATAAATACAATAATATGATAAAATTTTAAAAAATAGGATATAAGTATGATTAAAATACGATTATAATAAAATATTTTTATTATTTTTAATCAATTTAATATTTATATATTTTGGTAATTATTTAATAAAATAAGAAAATTTAATAATTTTTTTTAGTTTCAAGAAAATATATATTGTATCATTATAGTATATTCACAAAGTGAAGTAATTAATTAAAAAAATCAAAATTAATATTTATCGAGTCGATTTATTTAGAAGTAATTTTTGTTCAGACTATAACATAGTAGATTTATTTTATACTCTTTTGACATGTAATTATAAATAAAATTTAAAAAATACTCATATGTATTTGAAGTAGTATGAATTTTTGTTAATCTATTGTATGACTCGTAATTGCCCGTACCTGAAGGCACGGCGTAACGAAATCAAGGTAATCTCATGTAACCTAAAATTCAAAAAATCATACATTACCTAAAGACTCTTTGTAATGTAAAACAATCTGTCAATTTGAAATCAAAGTAGTCCATACTAATATCCAAAAATTTCAGCTTAATTTTCTCTAAAAATAGGAACTCATAAAAATTTAAACATGTTTACAGAACGTACAATTGTACATAACAATCATCATAATTTACCATACCACCACAATAATCAATACATACCTAATCATTAACACATATCCAACCATCAAAACATCAAGCTAATCCCTACTAATTTCAAGAAATTTGGGTAGAGTTTCCTCTAAAAATAGAAGCCCAAAAAAAATCTAAACCTGTCTAAAAAACTTACAATTATACATATCACCACAATCATCATAACCATGTTTATCCAAACCACAAAAACAAAATCATCATAACCATGTATAATTAGTTAACTGTACAAAAAACGAAATACAAAAAATACACTCATGCACAAATATATAAATACCTTCAATTTCATCTTCATATCCTTCCATGTATACCTGAAAATATTTGAGATATGTGAGGCAAAATAAAACATTTGTAAATCCGAAACATAAGACCCCTTACTTTTATTGTTAGTTGAATTCAACATAAAATTGATAATTATATCACTGTCCCAAATTTTGTCGCAAGTGCCACAAACACATTTTAGAGAAATAAGCAAGTATGTTTCCTAGAATATGAGATAAAAAATACGAATGATGTTGATTAGTGGAAAATCATCTCACTCAACAAGACTTTGGTTAACACAAAGATGGAACATAAAGTAAAATAAAAAATAAATATTAGGTTGGCGAGATTTTGAAGAACATTTATCTACTTTAAATCAATAAAGTCATTTCATAATATCCTTCTAAGCATAAAATCAAATTCAGCATCATTTGATTATAGATGCCTGTATATATGTAAATCAACCCAAGCAAAAAGTGGCAAACTTTATAACCTTCTACAAACCTGTAGGCGCGCTGCCCTAAAGCAATCCACATAAGGAAAGAAAAATAAAAAAATAAGATTTTCAATAATCAAAGCTCAAATAAGATCTTAAGCTCAATACCCATACTCATTCAAAAGTAAGGCCCGTCATATTACCGTCCTCTNAAGATTTTCAATAATCAAAGCTCAAATAAGATCTTAAGCTCAATATCCATACTCATTCAAAAGTAAGACCTGTCATATTACCGTCCTTTGACCGCTCTTAACCTGTACCAAGCTGACATGTTTAATCGAACTCTTATCGAATTAAGCGTGATGTAAGAGAGAAATAGCACACAGTATTTCTATGTAGCATTTCAACAAACGGTTCATTTGTCTAATGATTTCAATCATCACTTCTGTATTGGTGGTGGTATAATGGTGTGTGAGTNCCTGCTTCATTTTTTGAACCTCTCTCATCATCCTGAATTTCAAGAATTCTATTGCTGCAGAAATCAATCGTCCATTTTCCATTAAAGAGCTTCGTCGATACTCAAGAATCCATGTACTGCGATCTAGTTGCACAACAGAGCTGCTCCATTTTCCTTGTACCCAAGAACTATTTGTGTGTCGAATCTGATACCCGACCTCACCATTGAACCACTGTCAAGCAGACAGTATTACGAACTCAACGCAATGGCATGGATAACAAATGTTTACAGGATTCTATATTTGCAAAAACATCATCAACTAGTTGGCTTGAGAGNACCATTGAACCACTGTCAAGCAGACAGTATTACGAACTCAACGCAATGGCATGGATTACAAATGTTTACAGGATTCTATATTTGCAAAAACATCATCAACTAGTTGGCTTGAATGTGGGGAAAATCAAACAATGATTGAATTAACTTTACCAAACGATTTAGATTTACCTCAGTGACTCTTCCGGATAAGATAGTGAATGATCGTGAAGAAAATTCAGCTGTGAGCAATCCAGCAGTCTGTAAAGGCCACCCCCATATGCTCACCTCCTCGATTGCGGATTTGTACAATGTACAATGCGAATTCAAGAGCAAACCATCCTATAAAGACATTTTATACAAAATTCGACTTTAATTGATGCCCAAAACAAATTGCCCAGCAAATTTCAAAAGAAAAACTAAAGTGAAATCAGAGTTTTCAGGTAAATTCAAGATTTAAATGCACATTGTGATGACAAAAGGCTCAAAGTGTACCTGATTGATGTCCCATACAGAATTATCAGTGCTACAGTTTGAAGCCTCCTCTTGAACCAAATTTTCTATTTCTTTCTTCAAGAATGATAGTCTTTCATTCAAATCTGGCAATACCCATGATTTCTGGCCCACATGCCTTATAATATCAGGCGACAATTTAGGTTGAAAAACCCCAGAAACCACCCAAGAAAACCCAAACTCCGCCAGAAAAACCAAGCTCAGAGTCCGAAACAGTCTCATCAACATAAACCCAATACCCAACTCTCTCTTCTTCCTCTTAATCTTCTCATGAAAACCCATTCTGGCTGTAGAATTCAGCGGCGGGGACACCAAAACTGTTGGAGTACTCGATCTGGGTGTGGAAAGAAACGAGGGATTGAACGAAACCGGGCTTCTAGGAATGGGTTTCGAAACCGAGAGCTTAGTGAGAGAGCTTCTTTGGATGCTTTGCGGCATTAAATCAAGGGTAGCGTTGATGCTAGCTATGCAGATTTCGCATCCGCAATTAGCATCTTTTCGGCATCCCGGAAAGTAACAACTGTCTCGGGATTCAGATTCCATGTTTGTGCTGGCGAAGGATTTTACAGACGACTCTGAGGTTAGAACTACTGTTTTCATGGCCTTTTTGGGTTTTTCGTTTCTGCGCTTTTTGCTCTTGTTGGGTTCTGGTTTGTTTTCATGGGGGTTTCGGGTGATTGAGGAAGACGACGTGGTTTTGAAATTTGAATGCTAACGGTCACTTCTGAACTAGTCAAATGGAGTTGTGCCTTGGAACTCCGTAAATGACCGAAATAACCCCCCTCGTAGGATGCACTGATAAGGGTACATATATGAGATACGGATATAATATAATATAAATACAATAATATGATAAAATTTTAAAAAATAGGATATAAGTATGATTAAAATACGATTATAATAAAATATTTTTATTATTTTTAATCAATTTAATATTTATATATTTTGGTAATTATTTAATAAAATAAGAAAATTTAATAATTTTTTTTAGTTTCAAGAAAATATATATTGTATCATTATAGTATATTCACAAAGTGAAGTAATTAATTAAAAAAATCAAAATTAATATTTATCGAGTCGATTTATTTAGAAGTAATTTTTGTTCAGACTATAACATAGTAGATTTATTTTATACTCTTTTGACATGTAATTATAAATAAAATTTAAAAAATACTCATATGTATTTGAAGTAGTATGAATTTTTGTTAATCTATTGTATGACTCGTAATTGCCCGTACCTGAAGGCACGGCGTAACGAAATCAAGGTAATCTCATGTAACCTAAAATTCAAAAAATCATACATTACCTAAAGACTCTTTGTAATGTAAAACAATCTGTCAATTTGAAATCAAAGTAGTCCATACTAATATCCAAAAATTTCAGCTTAATTTTCTCTAAAAATAGGAACTCATAAAAATTTAAACATGTTTACAGAACGTACAATTGTACATAACAATCATCATAATTTACCATACCACCACAATAATCAATACATACCTAATCATTAACACATATCCAACCATCAAAACATCAAGCTAATCCCTACTAATTTCAAAAAATTTGGGTAGAGTTTCCTCTAAAAATAGAAGCCCAAAAAAAATCTAAACCTATCTAAAAAACTTACAATTATACATATCACCACAATCATCATAACCATGTTTATCCAAACCACAAAAACAAAATCATCATAACCATGTATAATTAGTTAACTGTACAAAAAACGAAATACAAAAAATACACTCATGCACAAATATATAAATACCTTCAATTTCATCTTCATATCCTTCCATGTATACCTGAAAATATTTGAGATATGTGAGGCAAAATAAAACATTTGTAAATCCGAAACATAAGACCCCTTACTTTTATTGTTAGTTGAATTCAACATAAAATTGATAATTATATCACTGTNCCCCTTACTTTTATCGTTAGTTGGATTCAACATAACATTGATAATTATATCACTGTCCCAAATTTTGTCGCAAGTGCCACAAACACATTTTAGAGAAATAAGCAAGTATGTTTCCTAGAATATGAGATGAAAAATACGAATGATGTTGATTAGTGGAAAATCATCTCACTCAACAAGACTTTGGTTAACACGAAGATGGAACATAAAGTAAAATAAAAAATAATATTAGGTTGGCGAGATTTTGAAGAACATTTATCTACTTTAAATCAATAAAGTCATTTCATA